CTTGTTAATTGAAATTGGAAAAAGGGTTAAGATAAGGGATTCTCTCCAATTGCCGTTTAGTCGGAAAAGATACTGATCCATCTAAATTGGAGGTGTCACCACATTAAGGGCCTCATGACTTCATGATGTGGGCATGCTTAGCCTCCAATCCATACATTAGAACATCTCCAAGGGTTCCCTTGGATGTCCCTTAATTTAGGGGGAACTATTGGGGAAGGGATTGGTTCTTCTCCAATGGTTCCCCTTAAAATCCCCCAACCCCTTAATTAATTATATTTAGTTTTTTAATTTTATGAATTATGATTTAATTAAAATATGTAGTTTATTTATAAATGAATAAATAATTAAATATTAATAACTAAAAATAATTAATTAATTAATTAATCTAAATTAAGAAATTACTTTTATAATCATTAAATTAATTAATTAAATTAAAATTTAACAAATAATTAATTTAGATAATAATTAATTTATATAAATCGTGTTAAAAGTTAAATATTATTTTAAATTTAAATTCATATTATTTTAATATTAATTTTATTTAACAATAATATCTCAACGGTCATATTTCAACGATCATATTCTAACGATCATATTTCAACGGTCATATTTTAACGGTCGTATTTCAACGGTCGTTTTTTAATTAAATGTGGTCACTCCTTCTATAAATAGCACTACCAGTGTCCTTCATTTTCACTAAATTCAAATTCATTCAATTTTTTTAACTCAATCTTCAATATTATTTATGGCTAGTAATTTGTTACGTGCCTTGCTACAAGAGGAAGAGGATGACGACGATGATGATTACGCGACCTTATTAGCAATCGCATCTTTGGAAGAACACCACTCCAGCGAAAGTCAAAGTTCTCGTCGTCGTGGTTCCATTCCAGGGCACGCTGTAATTCAACGCAATAGAGCTGAAGGTCACGAGAGGCATTTTCATGATTATTTTAGTGAATCTCCTGTGTATCCAGCAAAACTATTTCGAATGAGGTTTCGTTTGCATCGCTCACTATTTTTGCGTATTTTATCCGCAGTGGAAACACATGATTCCTACTTTGTCCAGAAACGGGATGATGTTGGGAAAATTGGTTTATCCTCACTACAGAAAGTAACTGCTGCTATGAGGATGCTTGCTTATGGAGTATCAGCAGATTCTGTGGATGATTACGTGCGGATTGGAGAAAGCACCGCTATAGAGAGTCTCGGTAGGTTTGCCAAAACAATTGTTAAAATTTTCGGTGATGAGTATCTAAGGTCACCAACTGACGAGGACACTGCAAGATTGCTTGCAATTGGCAAACAACGGGGATTTCCTGGGATGTTAGGAAGCATTGACTACATGCATTGGAGATGGAAGAATTGTCCAGCTGCGTATTATGGTATGTATACTGGTCACAACCACACTCATACAATAATTTTAGAAGCTGTTGCTTCCTATGATCTTTGGATTTGGCATGCTTATTTTGGTTTACCGGGAGCTCTTAATGACATTAATGTGTTAGAACGGTCTTCCGTTTTTTCTCAACTTGCTGAAGGGCATGGTCCGACTGTTAATTTTACAGTCAATGGTCATGAATACACGATAGGATACTACCTTGCTGATGGTATATATCCGTCATGGGCAACATTTGTTAAAATAATTTCTTTACCACAAGGAAATAAAAGAAAACATTTTTCTACACTTCAAGAGTCGGCAAGAAAGGATGTAGAGCGAGCATTCGGGGTACTCCAATCAAGCTTTGCAATTGTGCGTGGACCAGCTCGCTCTTGGGATGTGAAAATATTGAAAAATATTATGCAAGCATGCATAATAATGCATAACATGATTGTTGAAGATGAAAGAAAGAAAAATATTATGCAAGCATGCATAATAATGCATAACATGATTGTTGAAGATGAAAGAAATGATGATTATATCGACTTCACGTACGATGCTGCTGAGGAAGCCCCAACTATATCAGTGTCTCACGAACGTACAATAGATTTGTGTGAATTTATTCAGAATCATCATCGCATTAGAGACAGACAAACTCATTCTCAATTGCAATTGGATCTTGTCGAACATTTATGGGAACGAAATGGTGGGCTTTAGTAAGGGATTTGTATGCTGATGTAATATTAATGTCATTTAATTTAGTGTTGCAAGTAAGGACCTGTTAGTTGATGTAATATTGATGTTATTGAATTTCTATATTAATATGTGATTATATTTGATTTTTGAGAAAAGTTTCCATTTGCATAAATAGAATTTCATAAAATCTTCAAATACGATACATCATCTTCAAGTACGATACAACAAGAGTAAATTGAAATACATAAGAGCACACTAAATATGATACATCATCTTCAAGTACGATACAACAAGAGTAAATTGAAATACATAAGAGCACACTAAATATGATACGTCATCTTCAAGTACGATACACCATCTTCCTTCTAATTTGAACTACCACCACCAAATTGCCTTTCAAGAATATCCATCTTCAACTTATTGTAATACTCTACTTGCAATGGAGGCATGCCATCAGTGTTAATTGCCATAATCCTCTCATCTTGTTTCATAGCTTTCAATCGCATTTTTTCTTTTTTGATATTTTGAGCTTCTTGAGCGACCTGTAGTCTGTCTTGCTCTATCTTTATGCGCTCTTGCTCCTGAACATAAATTTGACCAAATAATCAGCTCTCTTTATTTCTTTTTTTTTTCCGATCCTGCTTCATTTCATCAATAAACAACATTACTGGTGTAATTTCAGAAGCCACATGCTTGTCTTTACCTTGTTTCAACCTTTCTTTTGCAGCCTTTCTTCCTATGGGCCTTGACGAACCCTCAGTAGGACATTCGTCTTCTCTACAATTTATTGAATCTGGAGTTGCATGAGAAGATGTAGCAGGACTTGAATTTTTTGACCTCTTAGATTTTTTCATTGAAAATTGGCCAAGCCGCTTTGGATGGAACCTTAACTCATTCCAACAATGTAAAAATTGAAAACTTGCTCCTTGCATGCTTTGAAACATTTGCATCGCTTCCATAATCTAATTAAAAAATAAAATAAATTTACTAACGTGTAAAAAGTAAAACAATTAATAAATTATATAAATCTAATCAGTTTAAATAATTTGAAGCCACAATTAGTACCTTGTCATTCTCTGTCACGCCACTTTGATTTCTTGCTTCAATTTGATTAAAACTCCCACAAAATTTACTAACTGCAATTTGAATAGCGGACCAACGGTGCTCTAACCCTTTTTTATCACGATCGCTACTGAATGTTTTGTTTTCATGATAGTAAGTTGCTACTCGGTGTCAAAATGTGGAATATTTTTGCAATGTCCCTTGCACTGGATCAATGCTAGTGTTGATCCATGCAAATACAAGCAAGGTGTCTTCTTCGATCCGATATTTTGATTTTCGCATCGACTTCTTTTGCAATGGTACATCTTTTACCGTATTTTCTTCGGGTATGTCCGACTGAAACGATTGCTCTTCATATTGATCTTCCCATGGATAATGACTAGTCATCAAATTGACATAATATGGATTATTATTTTCTGCCATCTACATCAGTATAAATCTCACATGAGTATGATTTAATTAAAATTCTCAAATTGTTAAAAATATAAGAAACATGAAGTGCAATTATAATTAAACAACTACCTTAAATTGTAGTATATATGATGAAATAGAGGTAGAAACAATGAAAGAGTGAAGTGTGAAAGTTAACATCAGGGTAGTGCCTTATTTATAGGGTAAAAATTAATTATATAGTTTAAAAAAAAATAGCTATTCTAGCTAAAAAAAAAAAGCCTATACTAGAAAAATAGCCTAGACTAGGAAAAAAGCCTATACTAGAAAACACCCTATACTGTAAAGACAAAACCTATAATTAAAAAAGCTTATACTAGAAAAACAACCTACACTAGAAAAAAGCCTATACTAGAAACACACCCCATACCACAAAGACAACCTATAATTAAAAAAATCTTATACTAGAAAAACAGTCTATATTAGAAAAAAAAGCTATACTAGAAAAACACTTTATACTAGAAAAAACAACCTATAATTAATAAAAAATATTAATAAAAAAATATAATAAAAAATTATAAGAGGTACATTTTAAAAAATATTAATCAAATTAAATTAACTATACATTAATTTAATTATATTAATTTAAATTAACTATACATTAACTAAATTTAATAACACATAAATTAACACTAAAAGAAAATATATTATTATAAAATTATAAGGGGAAGGTTAAGGGACTTTAACTTTCCCCTTAATTTAGGGAGAAAGTTTAGGGACTTGGGGTGAAGGGAGATGTTTTCCGGTCTATTGGAGTCCATATCTCTTAAAACTCCCTTAATTTAGCTAAGGGGCCGGATTTTTCCGGCCCATTGGAGATGCTCTAAAGGCCTCATGACATCATGATATTGGGCATGCTTAGCCTCCAATCCAATATTGCCATCACAAATTCATGTATTTGATAAAGTCACCGAACTCAGTCAGCATACTTGCATCCGTGAAACAGTACAAGACATACTACATGCATATTATAGGACCGTTAAATAATAATAATAACAATAATAATAATAATAATAATAATAAATAAATAAATAAAGGCTTCGACATCTTAGTCGCTTGGAAAAGGTAAATCCCGAGTTGGCATGCCCTGTGCCTGTGGTTTGATTTAAAATCACTAGCCTCCTTCTCTCGGATACTTCCCAACGAATTGAAGACAATGGGGTCAATGTTTAATCTTTTTTCTCATTGTCCAGCTTATGCGCCAAACTTCCAGTCCAACTTCTCTTGATTGCTGCTGTTGAAAAGACGTTGATAAAACAGTTGAAAAAAAAAAGCAAGCCATGCACTCTCTATTGCCTAAATTTGCCAAATTATTGGAGGCAAATTAAAGATAATGCACGTGTCAATTTCCCAGCTGTAGTCTGTTATCAGCACGCAAGCGCGATGGGCTGAAAGGTTGCGTCCGTTATCTAGATAAGAAAGCTGGGGTACCGATCGAGCCACATATTTATAGCAGCAGCAGAGAAGGAAGACGCACATAACTTCGGTACGGGTAGACCGGCCCGGTGCGGAGATGGACGTGCCTCACGCTCTCATGCTACCATTCCCAGCTCAAGGACACGTCATTCCCCTCATGGAACTTGCTCACCGCCTTGTTGAGCGCGGCTTCAAGATCACATTCATCAACACCGAGTTCAACCACAACCGAGCCCTAGCTGCTTTGTCCAAGACGGGGGATGATATGGACGGGATACACCTCGTTACAGTCCCGGACGGGCTGGAGCCTGATGAAGATCGTAACGATATTGGAAGGCTAATCGAGGGCATATCGAACGTCATGCCAGGTTGCTTGGAGGAGCTGATACGAAATATTACCGAGAAAGGAGAGGAGGAGATAACTTGCTTCATTGTGGACTGGAGCATCGCATGTATGCTTGAAGTTGGTCACAAGATGAACCTACGGTCGGCTGCTTTCTGGCCGTCAAATCCAGCGATGCTTGCAGCCACGCTACGCTGGCCATTCCTAAGCTGATAGAGGATGGGATCATCGACAAAAATAATGGTTAGTCCATTTAATTATTTGTGCATGTGTGTCTTCATGGACAAATAGGTAAGACTTGCAGTTCATTTTGCTAAAACGAAACTATATATGAGAGCTGCAGGAGGTGCCTAATCACCTCCAACCCCAATCTCCAAGGAATTCATGGAAACATATATGCATCCAAGAATTACAAGCAATGTTTTAAAAGCCTCCGTCTAGTCCGTCTAGCCGTACGTCTAGATCTAGGCAATACCTAGGCCAGCCACTTAATTAGTCCCTGGTGCCGAAGCGGCACCTAGGCTATCCAACAAGATTGCGAGCGCCTAAGAGAGCTTGGTCTACCTAGGCGCTAGGCACCTAGCTAGGCTATCCACCTAGACTTTGGGAGCGCCAAGGAGAGCTTAGTCAGCCTACGTGAACTGCACATTTTAGGTCTTAATCACGATTTCCTTTTAGTCAGCCTACGTGAACTGCACCTTTTAGGTCTTAATCATGATTTCCTTTGTTGCAGCCTACACGTCCTCTAACCTCCTCCAAGCTCCCCCGCCCTCTAACTATGAATACTTCCTCTATATCCCTTTAGCAGAACCTCCACCATCACTAACGATGCCTAAGCTTTTTATAATATTGACACTTACTATCAATAACTACAATTAAAATTAAAAAAGTTGGTGGAAAGACACGCCTAGGCTTTCGCTTTGGCACCTAGGCTCTAGGCATCAGGTTCAACACCTAGAGCACATATCACTTTCTGTAACCTTGATTGCAAGATAGAATTATGATCCTAATATGATAGGTTAACTTCCACAAGAAACCATGAACCACTTAATACCTCAATCCAGATGAAAAATACGTACAATGGAAACCAATTAGCATATTTAATTAGTTTTCAAAAGAAGGGACCATTCGTAGCGGAGATGGTATTGCATAGAAAAGATAGGTATTTAGATACAATAATGCTCTTTTGCTCGTCATTAATCAGTGCCATACTTCAATAAAGCAGAGGATAAACATCTTCTGAAATACACGCAGGAAGGGTGAAGAGAGAAGAGATGATCTGCCTAAACCCTGGAGTTCCTGCCATAAACACGACTCACCTCTTTTGGAACTGCTTTGGAGACTCCAAAACACAAGAATTAGCGTACGACTTCACAGTGAAAAATAATCTAGCAGCAGAAATTATTGAGTTCCTGATTTACAATTCATTCGATGAGATCGATCTATCACCATTCATCCACGGTCCAAAACTCCTCCCGGTAGGGCCATTGCTCACTCACCATCACTCTGCACATCCCGCCGGACATTTTTGGCCTGTGGACTCTACCTGCATGGACTGGCTTGATCAGCAACAAGCAAGATCAGTCATTTATGTGGCTTTCGGCAGCTTAACCGTCCTCAGTCAACACCAGTTTGAGGAGCTGGCTCTCGGGCTCGAGCTCACTAGACGACCTTTCCTATGGGCTGTAAGGCCTGATCTTACTGCTAGTTCAACTGATGCCTGCAACCGCGCTTTTAGAGATATAGCCTCAACACGGGGGAAGATGGTACGTTGGTCCCCACAACAAAAGGTATTGGCTCATCCTTCCGTCGCATGCTTCATATCCCATTGTGGCTGGAATTCAACTATGGAGGGGGTACGGAATGGGATCCCGTTCCTTTGCTGGCCTTACTTTGCTGACCAATTTCTCAATGAGAGCTATATTTGTGATGTTTGGAGGGTTGGCTTGAGGTTGACTCTTGATGAGCGAGGCATGATCTCAAGGCAACAGATCACAGCAAAGCTGGAGGAATTGCTCGGCAATCCAGAGCTCACATTCAGGGCACTATCATTGAAGGAAATGATCACGAAAAGAATCAGCAAAGGAGGGTCATCCTATGAGAATCTCGGTACCTTTGCTGAAGCGATGAAAGAAACGAGGCTTGGTAGTAGAGACCCCACACCATAATTTGAAATGTTTGTACGTAGCATGGAAGAAGTTGAATTATTATGAAGTAATGGAATAAAATTAATTTGATGCGATTATAAAACAAATAACTGACGGTCTTTCAAACTTGAATAGCTTTTCGACCTCTGCCACAGTTATCAGTGTGTATGATAATTAATGCCTTGTTTTCAGGAGATCCGCCTCTGATTAGGAGTTAGCGAATGGATAATATTCATCACGTATTAGGCATTGGATTCTTCATGATTGATGCATGTTGAGAAGTTCTTTATGCAGTAAAGTCATGAGATGGAAGTAAAAACAATCTTAAGTGTTAAGAGCACTAACAATAAAGATAAGTAAAAGTTAGGATAAAAGAGAGCGGTAGAAGTCTAGGATTTAAGATAAATTAAATTACTGTTGATGATTGAGCAAGAGCCCGACTGATGCAAAGTTCGACGTTGAGAGGCTCGATGCACAAGCAATTATGGTTCACAGCGGAGGAGGATTGTCATGGTCCACTATCGCTACAAGCCTAAGGAACGAATCTTTAGCAGTATATATACAAGGACCCTAATACATTATTATGCATATACCTAGCCTCAATCCAAATATCCAAAACTCAATTCACAAGACAGTATACTCAAATCCATACTCAACGATAATGAATAGAGGAAGCAACAGAGGGGTGTCATCAGTGGCGTAGCCAGGATTTTTTTTTTACCCTGGGCGAAAAATAAAGGGTTTCGGAGATGATGCAGTCAGGGAGTCGAAGATGATGCAGTCAGGATTTCGGTCGGCGATGATGGGCTCGAGGAGAGGGTGGAAGAGGCGGAGGGAGCTGATGTGGCATAAACATGTACCAAAAAGGTTGCAAGTGCACAACCGTGTCAAGTTATAGTATAAAGATATCGAATCCACGAGGAAGGTGTTTTGTAGGAGAAAATATAAAATCGGTTCTTACGTTGTGTGCGTGACAAATAAGATTGATGAGTGAATGTGATTGTGAAGAGATTGAGATAGTGAAAATGGTGTGTAAATAGGTGCAAGTGTAAGTGAGAGTGAATTTGAAAAAGAATGAGTATGATCAATAAGGTGAGAAGGAAAAAATGAATAAAATCAAGAAACAAATAAAAACAAGAAAGAAGAACAAAATTCTAGAATAAAAGAAAATGCAAGAAATTAAAGATGGTGGATTCAATTATAGATATGGATAATCTAAAATTGAACCCACTTCTTAGAAAAGGGTGATTCCCTAGAGGGTTCTAGCCTAAAGGCGAATCAAACAAAATAAAAATAAACAAAAAGAAAAACTAAACCCAAGAGGGTTCTAGCCTCAAGGTGAATAGTATAAGAAATTAAAATCTAACTACAAAATAAAGTGCAAAATCTAAACTACAAAATAAAATTGCAAGAATTAAATGCAAGAAATTAAATCTATTCTATAAGCATGAAATAAATCTAAGGCAAGAGGGTTCTAGCCTCTTGGCTATTTAACAAGAAAATAAAATCTAAACTACAAGCATAGAAATAAATCTACACTAATAAGCAATAAAAAGGAAATAAAAGAGAAAAAGGAAAGAAAATGCAAACCTCTAAATAATTCTTCATCTCCATCTTCATCATCCAACAAAGAGAAGAAATATTTAAAGTGGTGAAAAAATTATTATTATTAATTGCAACTAAAGTTACAATTTTTGGAAGGCCTTCTCAATTAAGAGTAGCCCTCCTCTCCAAAAGGAGTTTACAAAATTTTCACACCCTTAACCCCTCACTCTCTACCCCTATTTATAGTAATCTTCAATGAATATGAGCCATTGGATTTGTCTTGAGCCCCAAGCAACAATCTCCACCTTTGAATTTGTTTTTTGTTCTTCTCTAAACATAGGAGGCCCAATTGATTTTCAAAAATAAATAAAAATCAAAGTCTCCGGTCTGCAGCAAGCCTGTCCAGAGCTTCATTTGATTTATTTGATTTTCGGCCCATTTTCAAGTGATTTCATTTGAAAGCTAAGTCCAATATCAGCAACCGGTTTAATGTAAAAATTCAAAGCTTTAAAACTGCAGCTGCAACCGGCCCAATTCACTCCAGCATCCAATGAAGTAGGTCCATGAAGCTTTATTTTACAAAAATCAAATCCGGTTTCCAAAGTCCACAATCAAAGCTGCAGCACAAGTCTTTGGCATTTGTTTGATTTTCCAAGTTATAAAAATTCGGCCCATTTAAATTGTTTTGTGATTCAAAGCTAAGACCAGCATGTCCGGCCCACAACAATCAACATTTTATTTGAGAAAATCAACCGGCCCAACTTGCATCCATGAAGAAAAATCTGCAGCAAGGTCCGGCCTCCATTTTGATTCACTTGATAAAAAATGCAAATAAGTCCATTTCATTTGATTAAATTCTTAGCCCATGTCCAGTCCCCTAAATCTCCATCTGTAGCAATTCGTAATCTTTTACATAAAAGCCCAACTCATTTCACTCTTTGCATCCAAGTCCATTCCAATTCTTTGGGTCTTTAAAATTCAATTATTTGAATTTCTCTTATTTCTTCATTTACTCAAGGACCTTTGTTGAGAGATGGGATTTTTGGGATTTATTCTTCATTAACCTGTAATTAAAAATAAAAGCAATTATTAGTGGTATATTTATTCATATAAAATAGATAATGAGGGTATAAAATTATAATAAAAATATGATTATCAAATTCACTTGATAACTTTTAGATAATCTAATTGGAGCCAGTTATCACTCAAGAAAACATTTTTATATATAACTCTAAGGTATATTTTCAAGAAAATCTTCTCATTGTAGCAATACAAAACCAAGCCAAACTTAGAAATTTAATTTAAAAGTTTTGAAAAGAACATGCTAACTCTTTGTTTTAAATAATTTTCAAGTTGTTTGATTTAAAATATTTTTCAAGACCATATATACAATTATAAAACATTTATTAAATTTTTTTTTTAAACTCTTTCATCCTTGATGATTTTTTTCTACTTTAACGGGCTTTCTAAGTGACCATTTAACGAGTTTTGGGCCAATGGATCCCAACCTAAATAAACTTAGGTCATTAAGTATGGAAATACTCCTTGGGCTTAATTACTCGGTCAGCTTAGGCTTAATAAGATAGAATCACCTTGAATTAAAGAGTTTTTTTTTTTCTTTTTGATGCCCATTTTTCGCACTCTTCTTTTGCAATTTTTTTTTTGTATATGTATATATATTTTGAAAATATGTAAATCAAGACACTTTGAAAAAAAATTATTTTGAACTCTAAGTTAAGCATGCAAAAATTTCATTATTTTAAATAAAAGTCCAAGTTAAGACTTAAGTAAAGTATACTACTTTGAAAATCATTTCTTAAGAAATTTATTTAGAGTTATCATAAAAAGTGAACTTAAGTAAATAACCAACTAGGGATTAGAAAATTTTAAATTTATCAAATAAATCAATTATTACATAACTCTATTAATTTGGCAAGTGACGATATTTTTATAAATTTTTTTAAGAGAAAAAGGGAAAAAATGTAACTAAAAATGTAAAATAAAGAGAAAAAAATAACTAATTCCCACCCCCATACCTAAATTTTGCATTGTCCTCAATGCAAACTCTATGATGCATAAAGTAAAGCAGATAAGAAGTGAAGCACTTATATTTGGTCCGCTGATAAAAATCTGCAATTACCTTTGGTCTGGGGAGGATGAAATCAAAATTTTATTCTTTTCCTTTTTTTTTCTTTTCTCTCTTTTTTTTTCTTCTTCTTTTCTTTTTTTTTCTTTTTTTTCTTATTTTTCTTTTTTTTTTGAAAACTGAACAAGAAACTCTCACATGAGAGAAGAATAAATTCTTTTTATTATTCTGAAATAAACAAAATAAACAATGTAGAATAAAATATTTAACATGAAGAGTTCCTGTTCTACATTGAATCCTACCTTACTGTTGAAAATTCTTCCCCGGATTTTAAACAAATTCAGCATGATATAATCAATAATATGAATTTCCAAGTATTTCGGGGTGTTTAGTAATTCTTACAACAAGGTAAGGTGGGTATTATTGGTGTCATGTATTTTGCATTTCTTAATGAACTTAGACTCTTGTACTGTGAAGTTTTGTTTTCTAACAACCAATTCTTCTGTGAAGTTCTGAAAATTTGGTTGTTGATTATTCTCCAAGAATCTAAGTTCATCAAGAAAGAGTTCTTCAAAATTTAATTCAAAGCAGCACATGTTTAACACAGTTTTATTATTCTCAAGGACCTGATCTTCTTCTTCTAAAAATTCTAACTCTTCAACAAAAATTTCCTCAAAACTCAAATCAGACTCTTCTTCTTTTTCTTCTTCTGATCTTTCCTGAATGTAATTTATTTCCAGAGGCTGATTATTTGGTTGGTCCCCTGGATTAAAAATGTTGAGATCAGCAGTCAAATTCCCAAAGGACAGCTTCATTTGACCAGTTCTACAGTTGATGAGAGCATTAGAACTGGCCAAGAACGGTCGTCCTAAGATGACAGGTGTCTGTCCTTTGGGATTGGAAACAGGCTGTGTTTCCAAGACTACAAAATCTACCGGAAAAATAAAATCTCCAACCTTAATCAGAACATCCTCTAACTCACCCATAGGGACCTTGACAGATCTATCAGCCAACTGTAAGGTGTATTTGGTTGGGTTCAGTACACCTAGACCCAATTGCTGATAGACTGAATATGGAAGCAAATTGACACTGGCCCCTAAGTCTAAAAGCGCCTTATCAATGTGAGTATTACCAATGATACATGAAATGATGGGGGAACCTTGGTCTTTACGTTTCAAATGTATGGGATTTGATAGTATTTCACTGATATTGGCGGCTAAAAAGACTTTCTTTGGAACATTTATTCGCCTCTTCTTAATGCACAATTCTTTTAAAAATTTAGCATAAGATGAAATTTGTTCAATTACATCTAAGAGAGGAAAGTTGACCTTAACCTGCTTGAATGTTTCTAGGATCTTCTCCTCCTGAGGAGAGTGTTTCCTAGACCTGAGTCTATCTGGGAAGGGAGCAACCGGTCTAAATCTATCAAAAGCAGGCTCAGGTTCGGGTTCAGGTTCTTGGTCATCTGAGGGGAGTGCTTGTTGAATAGATTCATCAGAAG